TGAAAAAGCCGGCAGAAAACGACGAAAACCCCCCCTCAGAGACCTGCGTCTCCATATTCAAGCTGACGCGCGAGCAGCTCGCGGCCCTCAAGTCCAAGTCGAAGGAGGACGGCAACACGGTCACGTACAGCTCGTACGAGATGCTGGCCGGCCACGTGTGGCGCTCTGCCTGCGGGGCCCGCAGCTTGCCCCCCGACCAGGAGACGAAGCTCTACATCGCGACCGACGGGCGGGCCCGGCTCCAGCCGCCCCTGCCCCGGGGGTACTTCGGGAACGTGATATTCACGGCCACGCCCCTGGCCGTGTCGGGTGACCTCGAGTCGAGGCCCGTGTGGCACGCGGCGAGCAAGATCCACGACGCCCTCGCCCGCATGGATGACCAGTACCTGAGGTCTGCGCTCGACTATCTGGAGCTGCAGCCGGACCTCCAGGCGCTTGTTCGCGGGGCCCACACGTTCCGGTGCCCCAACCTCGGGATCACGAGCTGGGTCAGGCTGCCGATCCACGACGCGGACTTCGGGTGGGGCCGACCCATCTTCATGGGGCCCGGCGGGATCGCGTACGAGGGCTTGAGTTTCGTGCTGCCGAGCCCGACGAACGACGGGAGCCTGTCGGTTGCGATCTCCCTGCAGACAGAGCATATGAAGGTTTTCGAGAAGTTGCTTTATGACATTTGATTTGTGCCTTTTTCTTTCTCCCCTTTCTTTCTTTCTCAGTTTAATTTAATTGGAGCCTGTAAACTATGGGACATGTCGGAAATTGGTGTTGGTTTTTTTTTTTTTCTTTNNNNTTTTTCTTTTTTGTTCCTAATGGGTCTATTGCATAACCACACCTATGTTCATATGTGGCTTGAAATTAAGCTGCCTTGCTTGCTGCCTGGATATGCCAATTGCTGTTCTGTAAAGGTTGTTATGGTGCATAAGCTTTGCATACCCTCTTAATGCAGTCTGTTATGACTGCAAAAGAAAAGATGGAAAATTAAAAATCAATCGGGAAAGAGAATAAGCAAGAGTCATAACTAAACCTGAAAAGCTAACAACAGATCGAGCTTAATTGAAAAGGAGCTGCTGGTATAAGACGTGGGACGGTGAGCGACGCTTGCGCCACCGTAGGACCGGTTTCCTCCCTGTGCCTTTTTTTGACAATGTAATAATCTCCGACACCGTCAGCTCTCTTCAATATCAAGTATCCGAGTTGTTTGAGAAGCTGACAACATGATTTTTTTAGAAACTGATGATATGATTGGTTTCTGACCAGGGAGGGTATTTTGGGTCAGCCAGTTGGAGCTCGTTTGGGGGACTCTAGAGTTCCTTGCCCCTGTTTGTCATGGAACTTTCACGAACAAAACTAACGGGAAGGAAATCGTCATTCTTGTATATTAGGAGGAGGGAGATACTCTACTCATTATATACATTTGCAACAATTTGAATTGTAGTAATTTCTTTACCCGATTATCAATTTTTATATGGTATCACATCAACCTACCAAAAACACGAAACCCTTGTCGTCATTGCCGTAGCCGCCGTTGCCATGGTCGAGCAGATCAAGGTGCCGTCGATCGGCTCTCTGTTATACATGTACCCGTTCAATAGCACAAGAACGCCACCGACGCAAGTTATTCTTACCGGTAAGAATTACTCGACGTGAGCCACGGTTGTGAGGTGTGCTCTAGGAGCAAAGGATCCGTGGATGAATCGATCCATAAACCGACAACTTTCACCGGTGAAAGATGGGCAACAAATTGGTTATCTCTTGGATTCTCAATTCCCTTGAGAAATCACTGCAGAACAACATTGTATACGCAACCGATGCAGGGCATGTGTGACGAATTGAAGGAGTATTTTGTTAGTGTTATATACTGAAATATTACATTTTTACCATTTATGAATGAGAAACATATTAGATTAAACAAGTTATACGTTTTGTTGTTTTACAATTAGATAGCGTGGGTCGTCATCGAGCGAACCGAAGATCATTCTATCAGTTACTTGCGAAACAAGAATTATGGTTCACAACCTAGATGGACATGAACAACCCATTCGAACGGTTGTAGTGTCAACGGTACAGTTTGTCTTGACTGTTAGTTGCACTAGTACATTTATGTATTGAACAGGATCCCAGATAGAAACATTTCGTTTTATGTTGATCGTCGTAAATGAACTAGGTCTCGGTTAATTACTGTGTTCTCTTGGCCCGTAAGATATTAAATAGACAAATATATGCATTATATATTATTTTGATTCACATGAGTGAGGTTTAGTGAACTGGAACAATAGTTCTACTGTCTTGGGTAATATTGTTGCATGTATGATGTGCTATTAGGATATTTACGGTTACATGTACGTTTAGTTTGATGATGTCCGCGGAGTGAGTTCATGAAAGATTATTATGTTAAACCCTACAGGTGATTAAATTCCGGTATAGTAATAATGTGATGAACGAGCGCTAGCTTCGTTGAAATAAAAATAATTAATTAATTTTTTATTATCAGTAATCGAATTAATTAATGGACATTATATCTTAAACATGGAGAGATAATTCGAGTAATTATTATTAGAGTCTCAATTGAAAATTGGGCTATGAAAAATTAGTGCAATAATATTATATTGGTGGCTCATAATATTATTTAATTAATTAGAATAGATGATTGGCCCACAATTATTTTAATTAAGGAGTCATATTCTTAATTTCCTAAGGGTCCCTACTATATATAGATCATTAAGTTCATGAGAAGAGAAGAGTTGGAACATTATTTCACACACCTAATACACGTCGTGCGCCCCCTCTCTCTCTCAGTTCTCATTAGAGTTTTATCTTCTTCTTGTTGCTCCACTGGTACAAGTTGAAGAGGATGTTTGAGATATACAATAGAAGATCTCGTGGTTTATTGAGATACATATATTCATCAACCTCGTGATCAACCGGAGCAGATCCCGCTATGACCCAACCCGCCGGGCCGCCGACCCGACCAACCAGGACCGCCCCGAAGCCGTCGTGAAGCGTCGCGACCCAGCCGGCGAGACGACGCGCTGCCCGCGACCAGCGACACACCTCCCGAAGATCCGCGACGCGCCAGCCCGCGACCCGATCGGCTTGATTCCCCTTTCGTTTGATCCGTTCGTGTGTTTATCCCGGTCAATTCAATCCGGTTAAAGATTAGTCAGATCGCCATAAATTTTAAGCTGTAAGTTTTCTACGTCAAACATTTAGATGTGTTCAAACGCAACCATATATTGGATTATATTCGCATAACTCGATTTTACAGGAATTAGTTTAATCCACTATTATGGCCGACTATGTGTTTGATGAATGTTGTTGAATGTGATGTATGGTTTTAAATTTATTTTTAATGCCTCGGACATGTCGAGGAATTTATGGATGATGTTTGTAATAATTGTTCGCCCGGGGGTTGACCGGATAAATTTAATTATTTGTTTAGAAAACATTTACATCCATTCGTTGGATCTAGGATCGGATTATGTAATTTTGTAAATTATATTTTTCATACTGTGATCGTGGATTGATGACCGGGAGATCACAAGGATCAACGAGCCTTGAAGAACCGGCCGAACTAGGCCAAGGAGCCGACCGGCGACCACCACAGACAGCCCGCGCGACCCGATTGCTGTCGGGAGTCGCGCACCGGCAGCTCAGGCGGTGGCGGGCACGGCGGCGATAGCCCGGAGATCACAGCGCGGAGCGAAAAATAAAATAAAATTTGGCCGTCCGGTTTTTCTAACCACCGACGGCGGCGGTGACGGTGGGCTGTTGGCGGTGGACTGGTTTTTTACTTGGTGGCGAAGCAGTACAAGATCAACCAGGATTCTACTGCAGTGGGAGTTTCAGTTGAACAGGGAAAGAATATACAAGGTTTTCTTGTTTATGGGGAGTCATTATTTAATGGTCATAATAGTAGATTTATTTATTTAAAAATTATTATGTGCATAAAAAATTTTATTTATTTATTTATGCATGTTATTTAATTATTGCTTTTGCATAGAATTAATTTAGAATTATTTTTTATTTATGCATGTTAGTTAATTATTGCATTTGCATGAGATTAATTTAGAATTTCATAAATATTTAAATAATTAAAAATCCTCATTTAAATTATGCTAAGTTTGAGAAAAGATTTTAAATTAAAGTTAATGTTAAAATTCCTAAGGCCTCCATTTCTAATTTGTTGGTAAATCAATTAATTAAAGTATGGACTTCCCCACGAATGACATCACTAAGATTAATTGTAGGTAATTACCATAATAAATTTCTAAAATTAGATGGTTAGAGGAAAGCTCAAGCGAGCGCACGGGCCTCCCCACGGGGGACGTATAATCAATTTTAACGACCTCAGGACCGAGAAATGAGATTCACTTAGAATACAATTTATTTATAAATTCTCCACCGGGTCTCTGAATTTATTGTATGGCCAAATAGAGACCGACTATTAATTTCGTTCATCATGAATTTGGTTTTGACTTATGAAAATTAATGGGTTCTTGAAAAACCATTCTCTTGCGAATGTTGAGTATGTAGGGCGACCCACGTATCATACTTACTCACGGTGTGTAGAGATGTCGATGGATTTAAGTTAATGTTGTTTTGAGGATGACAATATATATA